GCTGTGGGTGTTGGGGGCGGGGCTTCCCCCACTGGCCATCTGGCCAGCGGCGGGTAGACCCCCCCCAAATGGGGGACCCCGGTAAACCGGGGGGTTTGGCAACCCTACTTCTCTTACATTCCATCTTTCTAGCCTTGTATTAAGGGAATAAAGCTTATTGCTTTTTTGAGATTCCCCCTCTGTCTCATTTTCATCTCCTAATCAGAATGCTGGGCCAACGGAAGCCCAAGTGCACACCAGGCTATTAGACCCAAAATAATTACCAGGTGACACAGTCTGACCCCACATCCGGAGAGAACACTTAGCACATTAAGGGCCGAGCACGTGTATTGATTGGGGTAACAACCTCCCATCTGAAGAAACAGTACAATCCAATCAACAATTCTGGAGTCCACAGATTCATTCGATGACGTGTGTGTCAGCTAGCTGCCATGGTGTTCTTAACCGGACCATGTTGCTGGGCATGGTGGAGAAGACAGGGCCAGCTCACAAAAACTGGAAACAGGGACCACAAGTGTCTACACATACCAGGATCTGTTTTCAGCTCCTCGCACAGTAGAATGCAACCAACACAAACTGGGGAACAGAACCCCCCCCCCATTATGAGTAGCCCTCTTCCCTCCTCCAGAATGCAAGATGACATCTCTGGAGGCCTGTGTGGGATGCTCAGAGAAGGAGCACGGGTTTAATCAATAAACAGGGGAGTATGTCCAACAGGAGCTTGTTGTTCTGTTGCACCAAACAGTGACAACTCTTTTATGGTACCCTCTCCTTCTACAGCTAGGGTTGCCAAGTTGATCTTCGTCGGGAGCGGGGGGCTCCTGGCCAGTGTCTGGTACACGCGCGCACCACACGCACCGGCGTGTGCGTCACCCGGAAGTGACATGAGCACGCTGGGGGCGGGGTCACGGCCGTACAAGGGAAAACTCTATGGGTTTCCCTTGTATGGCCGTGGCCCCGCCCCCAGCGTGCCTGGCGTCCCCCCGTCACTTCCAGGTGACGTGCACGTCGGGGAGGAGTTCCCCCCGGGGCCCAATCTGGCAGCGCTGGGGACGGGCCTCTGGGGCGGGGAGCATACTCCACTGAAGAGTACTGGAGTGTTTAGACCAGGGTTTCCCAATGTCCTGCCCGTGGGTGTTGTGGTGCCCGCCAGTACTTCCCTTGGAAACCACCAAGCTTCAGAAAGAGGGTGGTAGGGTTACCAACCCCCCCCCCCTGGGGGCGGAATTCCCCCCGGTTTCAAGCCCTGATTCCCGCTCCCGCCCCCCCGTGTGTGCGTCACCCGGAAGTGACGTCGCATGCTGGGGGCGGGGCGATGCCATTTGAGGGGAAAACTCTTGGTTTTCCCCTCAAATGGCGTCGCCCCGCCCCACCCCAGCATGTGACGGTACTTCCGGTGACGCTCTGGAAGCGCGCGCACACATCCCCGGCCAGCTCCCGGAGCGACAGGACGCTTCCCCGCCGGTAAGGATTTCTGATTTGGCAACCCTAGGGGGTGGGGCCATTGTAGGCCGGGCCTGCTATTGGGCATCCTCTTTCAAATGAAAGAGTTTCCCTCTGGAGGATCAGGAGGACTGGTAAGCGCCTGGGCTTTCCTGAGTCAGTGTGGGGTTCCATTTCCCCTTCAGCCTTTCCTTCTTCCCAGAAGGCGTGAGGAGAGAGGCATTCCCTTCCGCTCCACCTTCGGTGGCAGCCATTTTGAGTCTGACTCGGGATCCTCTGGCAGCCATTTTGGGTTTGGCTCTGCCTTCTGAGGCAGCCATTTTAGGTTTGGCTCTGCCTTCGGAGGCAGCCATTTTGGAGTGGTGCTCACCACCCCCTCTCAGAATGTGCCCCACAGGCTCAAAAAGGTGTGGGCCCCCTGCTTTAAAACTTTGGAGTCAAACGGGTATTCTGCGGGCTTACCGCTGCCGATCCACTCCGCGGTCCTCGTGTCCTCGTCAGCTTCCCCAGCATGACAAAGCCCGTGGTCAAGACTTTCTCCGATGCTCCGAGTGGCTTCTCGGCTGTTTTCTTGCAGTCGATATACAGCTTGACCCTGGAACGGCTCACGGATACGTGCACCTGCTCGACAGACAAAAATAGCTCCACTGTGCCTCTCCTTGCAGTCGGAACATTCGTTTCAGTAGAACACAATCCGAGACTGCCGAACCTGGCAAATAGGCCCAGCATGGCACAAGCATGGCATGCAGGAGAGCTTGCTGGACTTGGATCCGCCCCGTCCCCTTGAAATGCCAACCCCAGCCAAGAAGCTTGCTGGCAGGCCTTGAGCACAGAACCAGCCATGAGGAAAAATCCACACAAACAGCCAATAGCAACCTATTACATTAGCTACATACATGCGGAGAGCCAGTGTGGTATTGTGATTCAAGTCCCGGACTAGGATGCGGGAAACCCAGGCTCAAATTCCCCACTCATGCCATGGAACCTTCCTAGTTGACCTTGGGCCAGCCACATGCTGTCAGCCTAATCCTCCTCACCAGGGCTTTTTTTGTAGAAAAAGCCCAGCAGGGACTCATTAGCATAATAGGCCACACCCAACAGCAGAGACCTATTAGCATATTAGGCCACACCCTGACAGTGCAGCTCATTAGCATATTAGGCCACACCCCACTCCTCCCTTGGCTTGCCTGAGAGCCCCGCGGCTGCGGGAAGCCTGGGTAAGCCGGCCCTTAGACAGGCTGGGGAAGGCATGGGGAGATATTTAAATGCCTCCCCGATCCTTCCAGGGGCCCCCCTGGCCTGCCCGTCTCAGAGTTGCAGGGGAGGGTCGCTCTACAGGCCTTCCCTCTGTAGCCACGCACGCAGAGGTTTTGGCTGTAGTGGGCGTGGCCATCTCTGAAGCCAGCCGGAACTCCGTTCCTGTGCGTTCCTGCCCAAAAATAGCCCTGCTCCTCACAGGGTTGTTATAAGGATAAAATGGGGGAGAGGACAACAATAGTGCTTTGGGTTCCCATTGGAAGAAGAGATTGGATGTATACCCCGCCCTCCACTACCCAAAGGAGTCTCAGAGCGGCCTACAATCTTCTTTCCCTGCCCCTCCCCACAACAGACACCCTGGGAGGGAGGTGGGGCTGAGAGAGCTCTTTCGAGGACTGCTCGTGAGAGAACAGCTCTGAGAGAACTTGTGACTGACCCAAAGTCACACCAGCAGCTGCATGTGGAGGAGCGGGGAATCAAACCCTGTTCTCCCAGATTAGAGTCTGCACACTTAACCACTACACCAAACTGGCTGTCTGGGTGAAAGGAAGGATATAGATAAAGTGTGTGTGTGTTTGTGTACGTCTGTGTGTACACACGCAGAGCAAATAAATACGAGCCCAGTAAAAAAAAGTAAATAAATACCTTATATAAATAAAATAAATAAATACGAGTCAGATCTGACGAAGGGAGCATTGGCTCTCGAACATTTATACCCCCAAATCTTGTTGGCCTCTAAACTGCTACTAGATTTGTATCTATCTGTTCTGCTGTGAGCCAACACAACTACTCTCTGAAATAAACAGTCCATGCAGTGATAAAACTGTTCCCTGGATTGTACTATTGCAGGTTGGAATTGTCCAGTACGATTCTCTGTGGGGGGAAAACAAATCCATTGCACAGAGAAAAATAGCACATTAGCAGAGAAAGCTAGGCTATAAATCTCATCCTTAATATCTACTCTGATTCCACACTGGGGTCATCTTCCTCAAACCAATTGATGTAGGTCCTGTTCGGTGTCGTGGTTAAGTGCGCGGACTCTAATCTGGCAGAACTGGGTTTGATTCCCCACTCCTCCACTTGCACCTGCTGGATGACCTTGGGCAAGCCATAGTTCTGGCACAGCTGTTCTTGAAAAAAGAGCAGTTTCTGTCAGAGCTCTCTCAGCCCCACCTATCTCCCAGGGTGTCTGTTGTGGGGAGGGGAAGGGAAAGGAGTTTGTAAGCCGCTCTGAGACTCCTTTGAGTAGTGAAGGGCGGGGTATAAATCCAATCTCTTCTCTCTCTTCTCTCTCCTCAACGTAGGTCCCCTTTTAGGCCAACTGCGGCTTTCCAAGAGAGAACCCACGTTTCGTTGCAACACGCAAAGGTGCGTATGTCGATGGCGGAAATTCATGCTAATGAAGCACTTACTCGGGATTAAGTATCCATTAAATACAGTGGGAGTGATTTCAGAGTCGGGATTTAGGGATTTGCAAAGCGAAGAGAGAGGAAACGAATTAAGCGAATAAAAGATCTGTGCAGATTAAGACGGGGAAAGCAACAGGGGTCCCCAAAGATTCTGCAAAAAACAAGTGGGATGAACAGAGAGCTTGGAAGGCAAAGAGGGAGGGAGGGAGGCGACTGGGCAAAGACAGAGAGTCGGTTCCAGGGAACAAATCGGAAAGGGGAGAAGAGAGAACAAAGGGGGAACAGAGCGATCCTCCTCTCTCTATAAACACCTGCCAATTGCGTCAAGCAGGGACCATCGGAGGCCAGTCAACTCCAGGGTGATTCAGAGAGTAAGAGGAGAACCAATTGGCTGCAATTCGTTATTAAATAATTCACAACCGAATCCCGGCAGCTGCACTCGAGAACCGCGCCGGCCGAAATGTAGAGCCCCGTCTCCTGACATCAAGGCAGCCGGCCAAGCTGGGTTCACAGATGGCACCTCCCGGCTCAGCTCCGTAGCTTGAAGAAGCACAGAGGACTTAAAAGAAGAAGAGGAGGAGAGATTGGATTTATAACCTGCCCGTCACTACCCAAAGGAGTCTCAGAGTGGCTTACAAACGCCTTTCCCTTCCCCTCCCGACAACAGACACCCTGTGAGGTGGGGCTGAGAGAGCTCTGAGAGAAACTGCTCTTTTTTCAAGAACAGCTCTTATCAGAACTACGGCTTGCCCAAGGACATCCAGCCAGGTGCAAGTGGAGGAGAGGGGAATCAAACGCGGTTTTCCCAGATTAGAGTCCGCGCACTTAACTACTACACCAAACAAGGCACATATTTCAACCAGCTGCGTCATTGGGGGTTACAATGCAGATTAGGGACGACAGTCTCCAAGTGGGACCTGGGGATCCCCTAAATTACAGCTCATCTCTAGACTACAGAAATCAGTTCCCCTGAAGAAAATGGCTGCTTTGGAGGGCGGGCTCTGTGGCATCGTGCCCCGCTGAGGTCCCTGTCCTCCACAGGCTCCACCCCCAAATCTCCAGGAGTTCTCCAACCTGGAGCTGGAGAACCTACCCCTCACCCCTTCCACCAATGGCCAGCAGGGACCTGGCGACCTTCTTGCAGAGGGACAATCCCAAACCAGGTGATGAGGCTGTCCAGTGGCAAATAGGCTCGTTGAAATATGTGGGAAAACTGGAAGCAGGGAAGCACAGCGAGGTGAGTAAGCCCATAAACAGTGAGGAGGAGTGGTTAGGAGCCAGTCTGGTGTAGCGGTTAAGTGCACGGACTCTAATCTGGGAGAACCGGGTTTGATTCCCCACTCCTCCACTTGCACCTGGCTGGATGACCTTGGGCAAGCCACAGTTCTGTCAGAGCTGTCCTTGAAAAAGAGCAGTTTCTGTCAGGGCTCTCTCAGCCCCACCTGCCTCCCAGGGTGTCTGTTGTGGAGAGGGGAAAGGAAGGAGACTGTAAGCTGCTCTGAGACTCCTTTGGGTACTGAAGGGCGGGGTATAAATCCAGTCTCTTCTCTCTCTTTTTCTTCATTGGGGCTGATATCCAGGAGAGCCAGATTCGAGTCCTGGCTTAGCCATGAAGCTCACAGGGTGACTTTGGGCTAGCCATTCTCTCTCTCTCTCTCTCTCTCTGCCTCACCTGCTCCACAAGGCTGTTGTGAGGATGAAATGGAGAAGTGAAGTGATAGTCCTGTACAGGGGAGCGGTGGCACAGTGGGTATATCCCACTGTCTTAACATCTGAACTGTGTTAGTTCAAGCCCCGCACTGGTGTGAGCAGCCAGCCTGTTGTCCCCAGCTCATCGTCCACCCAGCGATTCGAAAGCTTCGGCGAGTAGATAAAATGGGAACCACTCCTTAGAGAGGTGGGGCAGTCCAATCTCCCTTGTGGGAGGGTGTTAGCTGACGGCCGGACGTCCTGGTCGAGGCTTGGAAGGCGAAACAGCTTCTCGGCTACGAAAGAATCCCTGCAATGGATGTTCCGGCCAGGCGGTGGCAGTGTGGCGATTGACATACAGGTCCTGAAGCCTGGCCAACAAGCAGCCGTGCGGAAAACGACGGAGCCGAGCCAGAAGATGTCTATACCTGGCAGTGACAGCGCGTGCAATTAAAAATGAACATATGTTGTCTTCCCTATCCCTTACAAACATTGTTAGTCCCTTGTCTAGATTGAGTAACTGTACATCGCTTTGAGCCCACTGGGGAAAGCGATTAATAAATGGAAAGTATTGTTGTTGTTGTTGTTGTTGTTGTTGTTATTGTTATTATTATTATTATTATTATTATTATTATTACATCATGCTGTACTTTTGGGGACTGATGTCGTAACTAGCTAACTGCCCTGACCTGGATGGCCCAGGCTAGCCTGGCTCTGTCAGATCTCAGAAGCTCAGCAGGGTCAGCCCAGGTTAGGACTTGGATGGGAGGCCACCAAGGAAGCCCAGGCTCACTCTGCAGAGGCAGGCAAGGGCCAACCACCTCCGTTCATCTGCCCTGACATGGCATGGACGGCCCGGGCTAGCCCAACCTCATCCGTGCTCAGAAGCTAAAAGTCAGCATGGCGTAGTGGTGAAGAGCGACAGACTCTGATCTGAAGAACCGGGTTGGATTCCCCCACCCCTCCTCCACGTGAAGCCAGCTGAGTGACCTCGGGTCAATCACAGTTCTCTCGGAGCTCTCTCAGCCCCACCTTACCGCACAAGGCGCCAGTTGTGGGGAGAGGAAGGGAAGGAGATTGTAAGCTGCTCCGAGATGCCTTTGGGTAGTGAGAAGCGGGGTATAAAAATCAACTCTTCTTCTTATTTTAATCAGGGCCGGCCACACTTAGTACTTGGATGGGAGACCACCAAGGAAGTCCAGGGTTGCTACACAGAGGCAGGCCATGGCAAACCACCTCTGTCCATCTCTGCCCTGCATCCCTGGATAGCTCAGACTAGCTTTATCTCACCAGATTTCAGAAGCTAAGCAGGGTCGGCCCTGATTAGTACATGGATGGGGGACCACCAAGGAAGTCCAGGGTTGCTACGCAGAGGCAGGCAATGGCCAACCACCTCTGAACACCTCTTGCCTTGAAAACCCTACAGAGTCATCGTAAGTCGGCTATGGCGCGACGACACTTTCCACCACCAGCTAACTAACTGGGAGGGCAGCAAAGAGGAGAGCAGCCAGCGAGTGCTTTTTAGCATGCCCGTAGCCAGGGCTATTTTGGGGCAGGAACGCACAGGAACGGAGTTCCGGCTGGCTCCCGAGTTGGCCACGCCCAGCAGGAACTCATTAGCATAATAGGCCACACCCAACAGCAGAAACTCATTAGGATTGGCTACATTCAGGGTGTGTGGCCTAACATGCAAAGGGGTTCCTGCGACAAAAAAAGTCCTGGGTCTTGACAACAAACAAGGTAAA